GTTGGGAGGTGAGGGGCCACGGGGCACGTTGGGAGGTGAGGGGCCACGGGGCAGGTTGGGAGGTGCGGGGCCACGGGGCACGTTGGGAGGTGAAGGGCCACGGGGCAGGTTGGGAGGTGGGGGGCCACGGGGCACATTGGGAGGTGAGGGGCCACAGGGCACGTTGGAAGGTGAGGGGCCAGGGGCAGGTTGGGAGGACTGCAGAAGTGTGGCGTGCGTGGCACTGGGGTGCCTGGGGGGCTCTCCTGGGGCCGGGTTGTTAATGATGTGATGACCTTCTGCCCTGGAGAATGTTGAGTATTTTTTTTTTACTTAAAAAAATGTAGACCCACAAACATGTTGCAGAATTAGTGCAGGGAGGCCCAGTGTGTCCTCCCTTCCCCTCAGCGGTGCCGTCGCACAGAACAGCCAGCGTGCAGTGAGCACCACCGGGGTCGAAGCCGCAGCCCGGCTTCGACAGGCTCTCATTTTCTCCTTTGTGCATAGTTCTCTGAAAACGTAACACATGTGTGTTTTGCATTGCGTGTCTTCAAGCCAAGGAGCAACATAACTGTCTGTGCTTTAGAGAGAGGAAGCCTGGCAACAGGAGGAGGATGGGCCGGGGAGTGGAGACCCGGAAGGAACTTAAGGGCTATTTCCTAATCCAGACCAGTGAGGATCAGAGCAGCGACATGGGGTGGAGGGGCAGAGGGTCCGTTTGCGAGGTGTTTTCCTGGTAAAATTGACGGTATGTGCTGATTGCTTAGAGGGCAGGAGGCCAGAGGCAGGGACTGCTGCTCTAAGCGACCCAGGTGCAGGGGTGGAAGCAAACGCGTTCCTTCACTCGGGTGAACGCCTCTGAACACGAGGCCCTGGCTGGGATCCGCGCCGGAGACAGGCGTTAGTTGAATACTCACACAGGGAGACATGTCACTGCAACTGGCTACGGGCTCCCAGGGACCACGGCGGTCCTCGTGGGGGTGTGTCGTGGGGCCCACCTAGCGTGCAGGTGTCAAGGCTCCTGAGGAAGTGACTGCACTGAGACGTGTGGCCGGGTTCTCAGCACCAGCATCACCTGGGAACTGTCAGCGAGGAAATTCTCGGGCCCCACCCCCACCCAGGACCTGGGGAGGGAGAGGGCAGCCGTGGGTGTCTAACGAGCCCTCCAGGAGGTCCTGCGGATCTTTGGGAGGAGGAAGATTCCAGAGGCAGAGGGAAGGAGGATGAGTGGTCTGGGCAGAGGGCTGCTGCATACGGAAGAAAGCTTTCCCGTGGGAGGCCTCATCGGAGGGACTGCCAGGGGCCAGTGCGGTCGCCGCATGGAGAACCCAGGAGAGGGACAGAGCCGGAGAAGCGGGCCCAGCCCACCCATAGGCCTGTGACACCACTAAGGACTCTGGTATTTATTCTAAGGGCCATAGGAAGCAATTGGAATTTGTAAAGCGAGGAAGTAACACGAGATCAGCATTTTTTTCCTCTAAATTCAGTACCTTGCACAAGATGCACCATTCATTGAACCAAGTTTTGTGTTTTTTTAAAATATATGTTTTTATTGATTTCAGAGAAAGAAAGGGAAAGAGAGAGAGAGACAGACACAAACATCAATGACCAGAGAGAATCATTGATTGCCTGCCTCCTGCACGCCCCGCACTGGGGATCGAGCCCACAACCTGGGCATGTGCCCTGACCAGGAATTGAACTGTGACCTCTTGGGTCATAGGTCAATGCTCAACCACTGAGCCATGCCAGCTGGGCACAAGATCAGCATTTTAAAATGATTATTCTGGCTGATGTGAGGAAAAATAGGTCGACCGCAGTAGGGGTGTGTGTGTGGTGTGTGTGGTTGTGTATGTGTGATGTGCGTGGGGTGTGTATGCAGGGTTTGTGTATGTGGTGTGTGTGTGTGTGTGTATAGTATGTGTACGTGGCGTGTGTGTGTATAGTATGTGTATGTGGCGTGTGTGTGTGTGTGTGTGTGTGTGTGATGGAGATATGGGAAGAGGAGCTCTGACATCAGCTCCCCGCCTGGGAAAGCTGACATCTGGAGTGAAGTTCACGTGGAGGATCTGCCTGGGGGCTCGACCCCCGTTAGTAGGCGGCGGTATCACTGGATTTCCTTGCAGACCCAAAGGCTCTGGCCTTGTGGCCCGAGAAGCTAAAGAAGGACATCTGTCGCCATTCTGTGCTAACCCCGTTGCTCTCTTATTTTTCAGAATACACAAATTCAGAAAACGTTTATCTGGAAGGAAATGAAACGAAATGGCATGAAAACAAATGTCAACAGCACCAAGTCAGGCAGTAACAAGGCCAGGTGAGACCCCGCTTCTCCCGCACCTGTGTCCGCTGGCGGCTCAGGGTCGCGTCGCTCCGCCGATGTGTGTGCTGTGCCAGTGTCAGGCCTCGGGAAGGAAGTGCTGCTGGGTGATCAGGATGCCGTTGTCACTCCCGGCTCGTGGCTGCGTGCGCGCTAAGTGCTGGCTTTTGTGCCAAGGTTGTCTGGGGACTGACATACTAGTATTTATCGTATCAGGAAGCAACGGCTGATAGATTTGAAGATTGAATTCCTTAATTCGGTGCCCAACAGGCCTGCAGACATTAGCCATGGGGAGCTCAGAGAGCGACGCGGTGGCCGTGCTGCGGGCCTCGGGCAGCTGTGGTTCCTCCGCGGGACGTCAGGGCTGCTCTAGGGGGCAGCAGCCTCCCGCACTGCGGGCTGCAACCCCAGCCTCCCTCCCCCGCCTGAGCGCCTGCCGCCTGGCGAGCTATAAATAGGATGTGCTATCGGCTCCTGTCGCTCCTGTGGCTCCGGAGCTGCCTGCCGTCGCAGAAGGCTGCCAGTCAAACCGTTTCTGCGGCGGGCACAACGGATTGACAGCCGCCAGCGCGGCCCGTTCCCGGACGTGACTAGTGTCCCGTGGCCCGATGCCGTATCTGTCATCACAGGAGCTGGGAGTGATTTCTGAGGCCCTTTCTGAATGCGAGGGAGCACATTACAAACAGCCACGTAAGCTTTGCTTTAGGATCTGTATTCTGGGGCCGCAAGGCATTCAGGCTGAGAAAATGAGCACAACACTCAACCCTCGAAACTCACATCCCATCCATTCCCGTGGTTGGCAAACCGCGGCTCACGAGCCACATGTGGCTCTTTGGCCCCTTGAGTGTGGCTCTTCCACAAAATACCACGTGCGGGCACGCATGTACAGTGCGATTGAAACTTTGTGGCCCATGGGGCCAAAGAGCCGCATGTGGCTTGCGAGCTTCGGTTTGCCGAGCCGCAGTTTGCCGACCACTGGTAGCCCGTCACCCTCAGGTGAGGCCCCTGCTCTCGCGGCATCAGTGGTGTGATAGGGAGGCCGCCAGCGAACAGCCCTGAGGTCATGCGTGCTAAGAAGTCCTTTCTTTCGCCGGCCACGTGTGCTCAGTGTAGGGACAAGAGAGAATCATGGGTGACACTGAAACTTTGCCTTGGATGGCGAGAGTGATGGCCATGAACAATATCTAGGGTGTGTGCGTGTGCGTGTGCGTGTTGGGAGAGGAGCGCTGTTTGACAGGGCTGTGAAAATCCTTCACTCGTTAGTTTGATGAATGCGTTTGGAGTGCCAGTGATGAGCTGGGTACTCCCGGCCGGGGGACAGGGGTGTAAAAACACCATTTTATTTCATGGAGCCTATGATCAAGTCTCTGATTTCCCAGATGAGAAGTATCGTTTCCAGTGTGGCACGTGCAGGGCAGGGGAGGACAGGCTGTGCTAGCTCCACAGGGGGGTGGGGACCAGGGGACCAGGGAGGCCTCTCTAAGGAGGCGAGTTCACACCTGGAGCGAAGGGGAGAGGAGTCGGGAGGGGGCGGGCAGGACCCAGGCGGAGGGCCCGGGGCTGTGGGAGAGTGACAGGTGGGAAGGGAGAGGAGGCAGGAGCCCTTCAGTCAGGTGCTGCCTGTGAGCATATTGCAGTGAACACGCTGAGATACACTCTTTAAAGAGCATTTAAAATAAAAAAGACTGCCCTGGCCAGTGTTGCTCAGTGGATAGAGCGTCAGCTTGCGGACCCAAGGGTCCTGGGTTCAATTCCAGTCAAGGGCATATACCTCAGTTGCAGGCTCCTCCCTGTTCCGGGCTCTAGTGGGGCACGTGCAGGAGGCAACCAATTGATGTGTTTCTCTCACATCGATGTTTCTCTCTCTCTTTCCCTCTCTCTTCTACTCTCTCTAAAAATCATTGGAAAAATATCCTCGGGTGAGGATTTAAAAAAAATACCGATGCCCCCACCATCCCAACATGGCTGTTTTTGTCACATCTTCTAGACCCTGTCCATCTGTGAAAAGACATTCTTATATTATTATATTCATAGTGTTTCTTGTCCTTTTCTTTTCAACATTGTCCTAAACATGTTTTTGTGTTTCAACATAGCCTGTGTAGTTATCACTTACAACAGGAGATGTTATTCATGAAAGCGTATTGACTTTGAGGTCCACGTTGTGTTCTGAGTTTGATTTCTGAGTCTGTGTGTGTGAGCCTTGCAGTGTGTGTGTGTGTGTGTGTGTGTGTGTGTGTGTGTCTTGCAGTGTGTGTGTGTCCTGTAGTGTATGTGCATAGGCTTGAAATTTACGCTGCGAGAGAAAGTGTTTGTTAAGATGACCCTTGGGAGCAAGGTGACAGCCTGGGTGGGGCGTAGAGGAGCCCTGATGCAGGGGAGGCCCTGGGTGAGGACGGCTGGGGTGCAGACCCGTGGGATGGCCGTGTTTATAAGCCTCGTGCCGTGTAAGGTCAGCTGACAACCACGGGTTTTTCTGCTCAGTTGAATTCAGATGACTGGCTATAGTGTTTTATGATACCCTGTCATTTGAAAGATCTTTGTAAATCAGCTTGCATGCTTCTAACTCCTATGTTTAGAATGTAGACTAGGTTGCCAGCCAACCTGGAGACATGGAGAAGTAGGAGGCTGGGTGGGAGGCTGGATTGGGCTTCCAGCGGGGGGCACGAACCCTGGCGTCCTAGTGCTGGGTGAGATGTCTCTGCAGATGACTTACTTTTCATTTTCTACGTGTCCTTTGAATAGGTTGCAGAATGGTTAGACTGTTTGGCAAATGCAAGGTGTCCATTTTTGAGGATTGAATGACAGATTTTATTACTCTACCCATCTATGTGAACGTCATTGTTACTGATGTGTTTATATGAGAGTGCACACAATCACGTGGACACACATACGCACGTACACATCCTAGCACAACTGAGCAGAGAGCCTGGGATTCAATTTAGGAGAGTTTTGGTCTTGGCCTCATGCATAAATTTACCTTTTCTCTCTGGAGTTTAATTCCTCTGCTTCTGAAAATGTGGTTACAGTACCCAACTCAAGGTTGTCACAAAGCAGGTGCTCATAATTGCAAGGTGAATCTAGCAGGCTCACTTAAATGTAACATTCGCTGGGATTTTTTTTTTTAAAAGTTTTTTTTTATTGATTTTAGAGAGAATGGAAGGGAGAGGGAAAGAGAGATAGAAACATCAATGAGAGAGAAACAGTGATGGGCTGCCACCTGCACGACCCCCACCAGGCATGGAGCCCGCAACCGGTGCATGTGCCCTGACCGGGAATTGAACCTGCGACCTCTTGGTGCATGGGTCGGCGCTCAACCACTGAGCCGCGCCAGCTGGGCTTGCTGGTCTGTCTATGTCACTTTGATAGTAAGCAGGGAAGTTTACACAGGAGCCTCCATAAAAAACTACGGGCCGGTACTTACAGATCAGCTTCCGGCTCTTCTGCAGTGGCTCAGCTTGTTAACACGGAGGGCTGGGCCCACCCCAGGGGCTCTGGTTGGTCTGGATGGGGCCTGAGGATTTGCATTTCTGATGCTGCTGGTTCAGGGGCCACATTTGAGAGCCACTGTTTTAAAGCTCCTTGTCGGCCTCAACAGCCTTTTAAAACTAATTTTTAAAAATGGAAAATAATGCATTTAAAAATAATGGTAGTAAGAGCAATAAGAACACTATTTCTGCTTGAGGAATCTACAGGTGGATAGCTCTGCCCCCTGGAGAGGCACTGGTGATGATGTCCCCTGGAAAGGTCCTCAATCTGACCCCCGGATGGGGGATTCGGTTCACTCTCCACAGCTCTGGGGAGGCGGTGCGCTGAGCCGCTGCACCTGCATCCGTGGAACTGGCGAGCGTGGGATCCCTTCTCCTTGGTTTTGAAAACGCTGCCATTTCTTCAAATCCTGAGTCGGATGCTGAGCTGTGGAGGGCCGGGAGGGCCACGCCTCTCTTCCTGCACCGCCACCCTCGCCAGGGCGGCCTGCAGGGTTTGCTGGAGAGAGAGCCCCTGGGAGCCTAGTTGTTCGGGAAATGCTTGCACCGAGGATGTCTGGGTCGGACACAGAGACAGGCTCCATTTTCCGAGCTGCACAGACTTGGCTCCTGGGGGTTCGCGTTGTAACGGAAGCCGCGCCAGCTTTTCTGGTCCTGCTGTTGGTGGGAATTCTCATGAAGTGGACCCCACAGGTCACCCGGCCCGTCCTCCCGCCGGAAGGGGACCCGCCCCGCAGTGCGCTCAGCAGCCCCGGGGGGAATGACTTCTCGCATGATGATTATTTTTTCCACGCTGTCTTCCACTAAGTGTTTCTTGGATTGAATGACTTTGTATTCAAGTAATAAAATGCACAACAGGCAGTACATTTCTGGGTGATTATCTCGCTCCTCAGGTGGTGTAATAAGGCAGGAGGCCAAAGCCCTGGCACGCCTGGTTGTTATTAGGCAGTGAATTTATGGGTAAAATAAAGCGGTTATTTGCATGAGCAGTAAGTGCAATAAGGAACGCAGTTACAGCAGGTCCTCCCCGCGAGCGCTCCTGGCCGGCCGTGCAGCGCGGGCAGCCAGACTTCTCGCCGCCTTCGAAGAGCTGCTCATTAATGTTGCAGAAAGCAGGAGGAAAGAAAGCCTTGGCCACTGCTGACCACGCACCTGGTGCAGGGAGAGCGCTCGTCCGCCCGGCTCTGGGCGTAGCAGGCGTGCAGTCCTGGGCGAATGGCATGCTGCTCGGAGCATCAGCTTCCTCACCGTGAGATGGAGGCGTGAAAAGGGACTGGGCGGGGGGGAGGATTAAATGACAGCTTTTCACAAACCTTAGGCACCTTTCCTGGCTCAAAGTAAGTCCCCAGTAAATGCTAATGGAATTCAAATAACTTTTTTTCCTCCTTCAAATTCTCCCTAAGCTTGAGTTTCTTGTCTCTTAACCTCTTCAGTCTTGGCCAGAGGTCTCAGTGACGCCCATTATTCCCAGCATTCCTGGTGTTCCTTGCTGAGCAGCACCTGCCCACGCGG